TCTGTAGACCCCTAGATGTCTAATCGGCGGCCTGGGCATTCCTCCTTGACCTCCCAAGGGATGTGTGTCATATATCTGGAAAGCTTCAAAAACAATGCCCCTCAAAGCCTCTTCAGTCTGAAAGGAAGGAGTCGATGGGATATTGTTCTAAATGACGCTCTCTAAAAGTATGAACCTCGTTCTGCAAAGCTCAAAATCAAAAAAATATACAGAAACCCCCAAATGGTGAGCAAGAAAGCCACAGAAACGAGGAAGGCAAACATGACATATGCACTCGTACTTATGGTTCTTATAAGAAGAATAAGGGGGTAAAGTGCAAGCCCCAAATTGCCTAGAAATGGGGAACCTAGCGAACACTTGAGACTTCCAATTACCCCTAACGACAATAAGGTGTTTCTTCCAATTCTTGTCCGAATCAGGGTTGCCGATGCAAATTTTTCAATCAGGAATAGGATGAAAATGGTACCAGCACCCGTCTTGCTAATCTTAACTACTTTGTAATAGAAAAGAAGGTCAACTATGTCTAAATTTAACTCCTTAGTTTGGTTCAAAAGGATCAAGGTGAATACGATTCTGTAAAAGTTAGGGTTAACTTGCAAAAGTGGAAAGCCCCAATTTGTTCAAAATGACATGGAAGATTGGATGAAATGGAAACATAACTACACAAAGTTGAGATGCGGTGAAAAGAATACCATTGTCGGCAAGGCCTCTACATACACTAGCACCCTGCATATCAAAATAATGCCGAGTAAAGACATCGTCGGGGATGTTACAACGGACACGAAGTGCGTCAAGGTCAAGGACCATGTTGAAGAAAAAGAATAAAGTAATGGATATTACAGAGAGAAAAGGGGTGAAAAAATAAACTGGCCTCACAAGATAGAGAAGTCTCCAAAAACAAAAGAAGTTGTTCCCCGGAAACGATTGAGATACACTATCCCACGCCAGAAAAGGAACTGTGAAGAGGATGAAAGTTTTAGTGAAAAGTAAAAAAATAAAAAAAAATAAAAATAGGCATGTAACTAAAGTCAAGTTTCTAAAGCTATCAGGAATACAGATCGAAAAGACACACCCGTCAGCGCTATAATAACCTCACGGCGATCAAGATATAGGGACCTGACCATTCAAAAGAGTTACGTAACAACACACCAACCGTCATCAACGCAAACCCCCAAACTAGATTAATTTCACCTTTATAGTAAAGGTAAAATTATGGGGCATGTGAAAGGACTAAAAGTAACTATGGGCCAGATCCGGCCCAATCCATTTATTTAGGAAATTCTTTCAGCAATCATCACCCAAAGACAAGACTGGATATAACGATCACGAGGCCCAAAGAAATGAGAATGAGGCCCCAAACAAGTCAAGTCAAGGAAGAAAGAAAGAACGCCCATCAACCTCCACCTTGGGGTCAAGAAAGGGAATTAGGATAAAATGTACAGGAGGAAAAATAAGGAAAGAAAGGAAGAAAAGAGGCAAAGTGTTTGGTGTAAGAGAAGGACTTTCCATCAATAGAAATAGAATTTTTCTTGCTCCTACAATTATTATTAAAGAAAGAAAAAAAAAATAGAATATTTTAGCTAAATTGCACAAAACCCCACCAAAATGGACACTTGATCAAAAAAAATGAATTTTAATTACAAAAAAGTAATTGAATGGCATAAAATAGTAAACTTTTCTCTAATTTTTTTTTTTTCAACAGAAAAACAATAGGAAAAAAGAATATTACAAGATTTGACTATGTTAGACAGCATATGCTAAAGAAATATTATGTAGTTGCACTTATAAGAATGAATTTTACTTTTATTTTTTGTTTTTAAATATTTTTTTTAATTAAAAGTATGATGATACATGTAACGAAAGATATAAGTTCAAATATTATTATTCAAGAAAGAGAAAAAAGAAAAAAAAAAAAAACACATAATTGGGCAAAATTGCATACCACCACCCCACCACCCCGGGGGGGCGCGCGCGGGGGTTGGTGGGGATATTTTTGGCAAAACTTAAAAAAGCAACCCCCCTTGGTTAATTGAGGGGGTTTTTTTGGCAAAAAAAAATAGTAAAGGGGGGTTTACTACAAAACAGCGAAAGTCAAGAGGGGTTTACTGCACTTTACCCTAAATATAAAAACATTATTCAAAAGAGACATATTAGTAAAATAAAGCATATTTCATTAATAAAAAAATTTATTACATGTTTCTAGCATAATGAAAATAAACTAAGCGATACACTTGAACAAAACAGGGTTGCAGAAAGAAAACATAGACACCTTGTTGAGACAGTCACTCTACTTTTTCGTGTTTAGTTGCCTAAACATTTGTGGATTGAAGATTTTATGAGTGCGGTTTATCTGATTAAAAATAGATTGCTAACTCCGACTAAGTCCTAGAACTTTTAAACAAAAGTGTTAAGAGTATTATCATAGAGAGTAGGAAGAGAAAGAGAAAGAAAGGGAGCATCAAACACTTGATTTAATACTAGGAATTAACTGGTTTCAATAGGTATATTTCACCATTGAAGTTATTTAGTGGGAGTTGAAGTTCAAAGAGATTGGTGAAGGAATGGTCTAGCAAATTGGCTAAATTGCAACTGGTATTGATCTAGTGGAGTGAATTTTCAGAGAGACCCAATACTGACATTTATCGGATTTTTCCCAATATACAGGGGATTTCTCAGTAAAGTGGTTTCATAGGTGAGAGAGAGAGAACCCTGAAAAAAAAAAAAAAAAAAAAGTAAAATACAGCAACACCCCTTGAGGTTTGCCAAAAGGACACACAGATACAACTTACCTAGTTTTTGGACAAAGACACCTATCTTGGTTATTGGACAAAGACACCTCTTATATGAAATTTCAACCAAACAAGGCCTTAAATCTTCTGAAAAGACAAAATTACCTCTCAATATTAAAATCAGATTTATTATAAAATATCAGATATAATAAAAATAAAAAAAAATAAAAAAAACACACAATTGCCCTCAGTTTATTTCAGCCATAAATTGGTGCCAAGTGGCGCCAGATTAGACCACCCATCCCCACTAACCCGTTCCATTACCCTAATCTGTAACCCCTTCCTTTAATGATCTAACCAAACCATCCTCTTCCACCCCCCCCCCCCCCCCTCCTCTCTCTCTCTCTCTCTCATTCACTGCGCCGCTGCCGCCGTGGATCATCATTTGGCTCAGATCTCTGAAATTCCATATCAGTAAAGACACCCAATAGAACAGTTAGGCCAAGTTCCTCTAATCAAGGAAAATATAGCAGCAAGTGCGTCATCTGTTGTATCCATCATTTGGACAGAGCCCTCCCTTCATGACCAAACCCCAGAAAATGAAGGCCTCAAAAGATAGGAAAAGATATGAGTAAGATGGAATAGAAGTACTCACAGCCACAACACCCAAGAGTGATGTGGCCTCAACCTTCCTAATACCCTGGAGGACCTCGACTCCTTTCCTCAGTGGCTCCATCAATGGTTGAGGTTACCCTTTTAATGAAATCCTACTCTTATGGTTATGGTCACTAAAGAGAGGGGTAGGGATTGATCCTTACTTTCTTCGAAAAGGATGACTACCTATGATCTTGTGGTTTTACCCTCACCAGATATAGAAGCGACCGCCACCACCACTGTCGAGCAGAAGCATGGTCGATGCTGAGGCCAGTTCCAAGGGTTGAAGAGCAGTTCCTCGCTTCCGAGACATAGAAATCAAAACGATGTCATTAGCAGATCTGTTCTATCGCCGATGCTCGTGGGTCTCGCCGAACTGAACTGTCGCCGATGCTTCTGGGTCTCGTCGGTCACCACGTTGTTTGAGCTTTAGTCTACCCACCCAGGATATTGTCGTGTATGTATATATATGTGTGTGTGTGTGTGTGTATATATATATATATATATATATATATATATGTATATATATATATATATATGTATATATAAAAAGAGAAAGAGAGAGAGGAAGAGGGCGGTGGCAGTGGCAGTGGCCGTTGTCCAGACCATCGCCACCCCAATCTCCGTCGTCTGGTCCATTGAGAGAGAGAAGGTATTAGGTATTAAGAGAGAAGAGACTGCCGAGACAAAAGGAAAAATGAGTTGAACCCGCAAAAAACGGGCATTGCCCAACTCTGCCTTACTCTTTTATTTTTACTTTTTTTTTATATATATACATAAATTGTTCATGAAGGGTATATTGGTCCAATTTATTAAATTGTAAAGTTAAAAAGGTCTCCTAAACGGTCAAAAGGTAATTTGGTCAATTTCTCATGCCAATTGGCTACATGGGGTGTCTTTGTCCATTTTTGAACCTTCAAGGGGTATCATTGTCCAAAAAACAAATAAGTTGTATCTGTGTGTCCTTTTGGCAAATCTCAAAGGGTGTTGCTGTACTTTACCCAAAATAAAAAATTAAAAAAAATAAAATAAAACTGGCAAGGAGGGGACAGGATGGGGTGAGTCGAACCTGAACTCCCACACGACTTAGGACAGTGCCTCTAACAATTGGGCTACTCAGCTCACCCCAGGTGAGAGATAATCACTGCTCAACTTGCTGATCATTTGGGTTAAAAGGGTAAATTTGTAAATTTGTTTTTCTTTGATTACAGCAGCAGAAGTGAGGTAAGCAAATTTATAATGCTTACACCAGCAGAAGTGAGGTAAGCAATTTAAAATCAAGGCAATATTGCACTTTCACAATGGACATCAACGGTTTTTTAAAAAGTTTCAAATAATTTAGCTAAATTTTAGGATCTGAGAGTAATTTACCTCTATTGTATATACTTTGAAAGCCGCAGCACATGTAATGCAGAATTGTTGACTTTCTGTGTTGACTACAAGCGATAGTGACCCATATATCCCAAGTCATGAAAGCTTCTTTGTTGTGTTGAGCCCTCCACTGCATGTTGACTGCATTCGCATATTACAAGTCCCTGTCCAGCCCTAAGATGTTTCTTCTCTGTCACCATTTCACTTTTATCTTTTGAAACATCCGTTGCAGATTGAGAGTAAGACATGAGCTCGAGCTCGAAGTCGTTGGAACGTTTTCATTCAATCCGGTCATGCTTACCGAAAATAGCATCTTATGCAATTCCCTGGCCAGGCCACCATGGATCTGGAACAACAGATAGAGCAGGTGAAAAACATTCGAAGAAGTTGAATCGATATTTTTCAGCCCGGTTATCCTTCCCAGAAGATTTCTTTCCTGGCACAATAAGTAAATCTGGAATAGCAGATGGAGACAATGTTTATGAAGAACAGGATGATATTTTTCATTTAGCTTCAAACATGTCTCTTGATGAAATCCGGGTTGATGAGCCACCACAGATTGTTTCAGTACAGCCCACTGAAAGTGCTAATGTTTCAGTTCCAGAGCCAACATTACCACGCAGTTCAATCCCACAAGTTGGCAAGTCTATTCTTCACTGTCTTTTTCTCGGTTTTATGAGTTTCTTTCCTTCCCTTTATATTGTAATTTAGTTTGTTCACCCTCTGCAAAACCAAGTCATTCATCATAAATTTTCATTTGACAACACGAAGAAAAAATGATAATAATAATTGGATACAAGCATAATCTGCAATTACTATTAATTGAACCATCTCCATGTCAACAAACTATTAATTTTTTTTTATTTTTTATTTTAGTCTCTTACATAAGACAAAATTGCATATCACAAATACCAACCAGTAATTAAATTTAGGTAAATTACAGTGATCTTCCCTTTTATTAACAAACCCACACACGGTATTCTTTAGTTTTCAAAAATTACTGTATATATTCTGATATCATTTTCCACTTCGATGGGGTTTTGACCTTTAGTCGACGCCTGTGAGAGCTAATGCTAGCCTTTTCACTCTACAAGTGTAGAAAGTCAATAATACCCTCCACCTTTTATATGAAATGACATGTTTGACCCTATTTTAATATAATGCAAAGACAAAATTACCCTTTTTGCTCAATTCAACCCCTCTTTTTAAAGGCACTTCACCTGTGGTGCTCAAATGGCTTCGGCACTTCGCCATCTTCAACAATGGTAGTGGGAAGCTTATAGAGTGCGAGTACAAATATAAATATAAATATCTGTGTTATATACATTTACAGTTATACATATACATACGAAATACCCATCTAAATCGTCATTTCCCAACCTCTATTGTTTTTTTTTCCCTCTCGCAGAAGAATTAAATGCAATTAAATACCACGATCAAAACTTTTGAGACAAGGAAGAGGGAATATAGAAATCCCAACGAATACTGAACTATGTGTCAATATTCTCTCCTCAATAACAAAGTTTAAATAAAAGAATGCCCAAGTTGGAAGCTTTAAACTTGGGCATTCTTTTACAACAATACATGGTTTGTTAAAATGCCAACTATTACCGGACTATGTGTCGATCCTTGCTGCTTACAAAATTAATATTGGCTGGCTGAATTGGAAGCTTTGAAACCAAAAAAGCCACCCAGTTAGAATTCTGCTTGTAATATTCAGATACAAAGGTCAATCTTGAATTTTTTGCATGCGACTTTCGACATAAGGTCCATTGAACCAAATTCAGAATCTTACAATATTTGAACTCAAGTCTCTGATATTATTCGAAAATTGTGATTGTTTATGGAGGCTGTACTGAAGCCTTCGAAGTGACGAATGGAGGAGAACAAGAGCCCGTAGATGAGAGAAAGAAATTGGAAAGGAGGTAGGCAAGTTTAGGGTCACCTTCACGGGAAAAAAAAAAAAAAAATTAGGGTTACCAATGTTTGGGTGTGCATACGTTTGCATATATGTGCATACGGGTTGAGTCGTTTTGAATATTAGAGAGGGAAGGATGTAAGAGAAAAAATGGTACATATAGAAATTTTGATCTTTTAAAAAGGCTATTTTAGTCTTTTTAGTTTTCTTTGACTTCTCAATTAAAACAATGTAAAGAAGTAAGGGCACGATGATAATTGCATCATTTCTATTAACTGAGTCAGAGTAATTTTCAAAAACTAAGGGGGTGTCGAGTGCAGGTTTGTTAATCTAAAGGAAAGGTCAATGTAATTTACCCTTGAATTTAATCTTACACTGAAAGTTTGGGAAATAAAAATCACAATTATAACTGCAGCAATGTCCCGTACCAGAACCACAGCTGAGCTGAACCATACCATCATTGCCAGTGCAAACACAAAATTTTTAACATCACCTGCTTTGCTTTCACAATACACAGATGCAGTTTCTTACTAACATTAGGTCGAAAGTTGTTATATGTGTTAAATATCAATAGCATAAGTCATGACTTGACTGTCTTGCTTTTTTGGCAGGGGCTGAATCAACCCCAAATCTTATGAAGTATGTGTCATTATACCAAGCTGCACTCGCAGGTAATTGGGACAAGGCTAAAAAATTCATCGATTCAAATCCAGATGCACTAACTGCTAGAATCACAAAAGGGTGTGAAACAGCCCTTCACATTGCAGCTGGGGCCAAACAGACGGAGTTTGTGGCAGAGTTGGTAAATTTGATGGAAACAAAAGATTTAGCATTGAAAAACAAGTCCGAAAAGACGGCACTTTGTTTTGCTGCTGCATCAGGAATTACAAGGATTGCAAAGATGATGGTGAGAAAGAACAATGACTTGCCTAAAGTGAAAGCACTCCACACAGCTGCTTCGTTAGGTTACAGGGACATGGTGCAGTTTCTCTACTCGGTCACTAATACTGAAGACCTAGGAAAGGAAGACTATATCAGACTACTTTTTGCTACTATCAACTCCGAAATGTATGGTAAGGTAGCATTCTACTTTACATGCTTTCATATTGAAGAAACTACTGTGAACAAGCTAATGAACTCTATCCCGCTATTCTTAGATGTAGCTTTGGACATACTGCTGCCCCTACCAGAATTAGCCATTGAGCGGGATTCAAATGGCGAGACAATCCTTCATGTTTTAGCTCGAAAGCCCTCCGCATTTTATGGCACAAGTCAGCTAGGAATCTGGCAGAGATGTATGCACTCATGTTAGTTTCACCATTTCCTTGTGAATTCATATTCTTATACATTTATAATCACCACAATGTTTGACACAACTTTAAGATTCAGTATGTCAGAGTTATTGTGAATGTTCTGCCAATGCTGGGCTACCGTCATGGTTCAATAGCGAGGTTGTTCACCATGCTAAATCTACTTAAGTTTAGCTTGAATTTGCAAGCTTGATTTCTTAACAAAACAAGCCAGCGACATCAGGCTCACCTATCTTAGGCTCTAAAATAGTTTGGCAAAGTTGCTATGTTGATTTCCGTGAGAAATATAACTCTATCTTCAAAAATAGTTTGGTAAGGTTGCATTCTTCAAGCCAAAGTCTTCTAGCCTAGCTTGTAAGATGCCTCCTGTTCGCTCTTGGAGCGCATGAGTTCGAGACTGGGCACCAACTAATCCCTTAAAAAAAAAAAAAAAAAAAGGTTGCATTCTTCAAGGAGTTTTAACTTTTTGGATCAGAAATCACTATGATTGAAATCTTCTTTATTTTTTTATTTTTGTTTTGGCCTTTTCTTTTGGAAACCAGAAGATAAAAGAAAAAACAAAATGAGGGAGAAAATACAGACAGCTAGAGAAGATGTAAATATAATGGTGAAATTGAAGAAGAAAATGATGGTGAAGTTAAACAGTAAAGTTGAAAATATTCAGCAATTAGTTGGTTACTGTTCTAGTTAATCATTTATGGGACACAGTGTTTACTATAAGATATAATCAAATCAAGAGTAAGTGAGTGATAAAGAAGAAGAAGAAAAAGAGAAGAAAGCAGAGAAAACGAGAGAGAGATGAGGAAAGAGAGAAAGAATAAAAGAATACTTTCATCCTTCTACCACATTTTATTTATAATAAGAAGTTTCAGAAATTACACATAAGCCCCAACATTATATAAGTAATAACAAATAAGCTCCTGACAACACTCCCCCTCAAGCTGGTGCAAAGATATCTATCACGCCTAGCTTGACTAACATATTTTGCAAACAAGTCTTGCTCACACCCTTAGTCAAAACATCAACAACCTGATCATGTGGGTTGACGTATGGAGTACAAATCAGCCCAAGACGAAGCTTTTCCTTGATGAAGTGTCGATCGACTTCAATGTGCTTTGTCCTGTTGTGTTGAAATGGATTGTAAGCAATGCTAATAGCAGCCTTGTTGTCATGATACAACTTCATTGACTCGCAAACAAGAAAACCCAACTCACCCAACATCATATATAGCCATAACAACTCACAAACTCCATGTGCCATAGATTTAAACTCAGCCTCTACACTAGATCTAGCTACTACAGACTGTTTCTTGCTTCGCCATGAAACAAGATCACCTAAAAACAATTGTGCAATATCCTGAAGTAGATCGTCAATCTGTCACAGACCCTGCCTAATCAGCATCAGTATAGGCTTCAACACGCAAGTGGCCATGACTACTAAACAATATCCACTTACCAGGTGAACCCTTGAGGTAGCGAAGAACATGATGAGCAGCCTCAAGGTGAGGTGTATGTGGAGCATGCATAAACTGACTAATCACACTAACAGAGTAGGCAATATTCGGGCGCATGCGAGAGAAGTAAATCAGTCTCCCAACCAATCGCTGAAATCTTCCCACATCATCTAATGGGTCTCCATCTACATCATTAAGCCTATGGTTTTGCTCAATGGGAATATCAATAGGTTTAGCTCCAAGCCTGCATGTTTCAGCCAACAAATCTAACACATACTTCCGTTGAGAAACGAACACCCCTTTTTTCAATCTGTACACCTCGATGCCAAGAAAGTATCTCAATGATTCGAGGTCTTTAACCTCGAACTTTGTCCCCAAAAATGACTTCATTCAATGAATATCTTCTGGATCATTTCCAGTGGTAACAATATCATCAACATATACAATAAGGGCAATGATGCAGCCCTGGTGCTTCTTGATGAAGAGAGTATGATCTACCTGACTCTGTGTGTACCCTACTCTTTTCACAGCAGTGTTGAACCTCTCAAACCAAGCACATGGCGATTGCTTTAACCAATACAAGGATTTATTTAGCTTGCATAGTAAATTATGACCATTGGTAAGCTTAAACCCTGGTGGCATAGTCATCTACACCTCTTCCTCCAAGTCACCATGAAGGAAAGCATTCTTTACATCCAGCTGATATAAGGGCCAATTCAAATTAGCTGCCAAAGAAAGAAGAACACGTATAGAGTTCATCTTGGCAACTGGAGCAAATGTTTCTAGATAATCAATTCCATAGATCTGAGTGAAGCCCTTTGCAACTAACCGAGCTTTATATCTCTCAATTGTACCGTCTACATGATACTTTATTGTGTAGACCGATTTGCAGCCTACTGGTTTCTTACCCCTAGGTAATGGAACAATATCCCAAGTACCATTCTTCTCAAGGGCCTTCATTTCTTCAAGCATAGCTTTCTTCCATGAGGTTTAACTGAGAGCATCTGAAACACTAGAAGGAACAAATATAGAGGAGATACACGAAGTGAAAGCACGCTATGTTGGAGATAAGGCATCATAGGATACAAATTGAGATATGGGATATTTCGTACAACTACGAATACCCTTACGATAGGCAATAGGGACATCAAGGTCAACAGGAATGCTATTGAGAAAAGATCAGGAGTATCAATGTCAACTAAGGAATTACCTGAATCGATGGAGACTTATTAGTCCTGGAGTGAGTCGATAACTTGTTTTGCCCTTCTAATGTAGACAATTGGTTGTTTTCTCTACTGCAAATCATTAGTGTTAGGAGGACTAGACAGAGGCACCTCAGTAAGAAGCTGCCTCTGAATGGGAACAGGCAAAAGAAGGGGGCATTCCCTTTGAATGGACAACGGATTCTTTACCTGTATAGTGGTCTCCCCTTGTAGAGAATCCCGAGCAGTGAAAAAAAAAAAAAAAAAAAGGAGCAGACTGAAAGAATGTAACATTCATGGAGACAAAGCAACGACGAGTGGTAGGGTTATAACATTGATACCCTTTCTAAGTGGCGGAGTATCCAAGAAAGACACATCAGATTGCCTTAGGGTCCATTTTGTCCTTGCGATGATGAATGTGAACATAACAAACACAACCAAACACTTTCAGAGGGATAGTAAACAAGGCAGTGTCATGGTGTAAGACATAGAAGGGGGGGTGATAGCTAAGAACCTTAAAAGGCATGTGATTGATAAGGTATGCAGTTGTTAACGTTGCATCAGCCCAATAACTTTTAGGCAGTCCCATCCCAATTAGAAGAGAACGGGTCACCTATGCAATATGACGGTGTTTTCTTTCAACTACATCGCTCTGTTGTGGTGTATCGACACAAAAGGTTTGATGGACAATCCCATTATCAACAAAAATGGAAGCAAGACCACCATACATAAACTCTCCTCCATTATCAGGTCGAAGGATTTTGAGGGGACAACCAAAGAAAGTACATATCATCCTATGAAAGGTTTTAAAAATGGAATGAACTTCATCTTTGGTTTTCATAAGATAAAGCTAAGTATATCGACTAAACTCATCAACAAAAACAACAAAGTAACGAAAACCAAGTAACGAAGTAGTAGATCCAGGACCCCGCACATCAGAATGAACAAGCTGCAAAGGAGCTGTACTTTTATTAATACTAGTAGGATAAGAAACACGACATTGTTTGGCAAGAACGCATGTTTCACAATTTAACTCAAAAGATTCAATAGAAGCAAACTAGGGAAACACATAATTCAAAACAGGAAGAGGTAAATGACCTAGTCTATTATGCCATCACATTAACATATCTTTATTGACATTACTATTCCTAACACTAGATTGATTTGCAACATAATAAGAAGTTGGCCTCGCATTCAGCAAATACAAGCCATTGTCCTCACGTCCACTTCCAATCGTCTTCCCCGTGTCCTGAAACACACAGTGAGATGGAAAAAAGGTTACACTACAATTCAAGCCCTTTGTAATGTGACTGACAGAAAGGAGGTTATTGGTAAACCTTGGAACATGAAGAACAGAGAATAAAGTAAGATTAGGAGAGATAGAAACAGTGTTCTTCCCCGCAATGGAGGTAATAGTGCCATCAGCCACTCTAACCTTATCCTTACCAGAACATAAATTGTACAAAGAAAAATCAGATGTCATACTAGTCATGTAATCAGTAGCTCTTGAATCAATAATCCAGGGTGGCCCACCAGATAATGTAGAAACCTGATGTGTCGAATGAGAGGTACCTGTCTAAGCGAAGTTAGAGGTGGAAATGGAGGAATGTTGTGCTAGTAGATGTCGGATAGCATCAAGTTCAGCCCCGGACAAAGAACTCGGTAGCCCTGAGGAGGCATGACCAGTAGAACCAGTCTCACGCTATACAGTATGTGTTATAGATAACCACCTAAATGGACCAGGCCTTGGCCTAGCATTTGCATGAGCAAGAGCTGGAATAGGGCGATCGTGTAGATTCCAGCATGTTTCCCTAGTGTGGCGCGTACACCCACAGTGATCACAGATTCACACCTCAACTTGCTCTTGTCATATTGGGCTTGTTCCATTGTTGTGTGGCAAAGCAAACCTCTCAAACAATAGTACTTCTGGCTCAGGCTAGGCTTAGTGACAGGTGCAGACATAGCCTTCATTCTACTCTCCTCAGCCTGGATATACGAAAACGCATCTCTAACAGAAGTAGGGGCTGGATACCTGCCTAACACTTGTATCCTGGCATGCTCGTATCTTGGATGCAAACCACCCAAGAACTCATAGATTCGATTCATTTCGACCATAGCATGAAATGCTTTAACATCAGTTACACACGCATGTATGTAGTCTTGGTAGTGATCTAACTCTTCTCATTTACCACGTAGAGTGTAGTAATATGTAGCAAGAGTTTGGTCTTCCTGCTTAAATCTTGAAATCTGTTGTTGGAGCTCATACAGTTTTGCAAAATTACCAACCGAGGAATACGTCTCTTCTACAGTCGTTAATAGCTCTTTAGCTGTTTTCACAAACAGAAACCCTTTGCTGATATGTGGTTGCATTGACTGCAACAACCACGTCATAAATAGTGCATTATTTGCACTCCACTCTTTGAATTCAAGATCGCTCTTGGAGGGATACGTGACAGTCCCTTTGATATAGTCTATAGACACTAAAATTTCATGAGCTTTTGTATTGATAAATATGGGTCTCAGATTTAATTAAATTATTTAATTGGCCCAAGTTTGGCCAACTTAAATGATTTAATTAGCCCAATCCAGTTACTTAAATAAAAATATAATTATTTTCAATTAAATATATTTGGGAATAATTATTTTAATGGATAATTCTCACAATATAACCGGCCCGACCCGGTTATGATTATGTGTTTACTAAGAGAGGACACGTGTCAGCACCCTATTCATCTAGGAAGTCTATAAATAGAGGCATGGAGGAAGAAGGAAGAGGTCTAGAAATTGAGAGACTCATAAATCCAGTGGATCCAGAAATTGAGAGAATCAGAAATCCAGAGGGTCCAAAAATTGAGAGACTCAAAAATCCAGAGGGTTCAGAATTCCAGAGTAAAATACAAAAGTTCTGCCGACATTCATCCCCAACACCCAAGCCTTGAAAAAGAAGAGTAACAAGCACAACCAAAGTCGTGTCGTTCTTCCACAGATTCTCTGAAGGTGAAGAACAACAAGCACATCCAAAGTCGTGTCGTTCTTCCTTAAATTCAACAAAGAACAACAAGCACATCGAAAACGTGCCGTTCTTTCCTCGCGATTCAACAAGTTTGAAGAATCACCAAACAACACTTTTCAAGATCAAGCTTCTTTAGCCCTCGATCAAAAATCATCGGCGATCTTCCTTAACTACAAATATTTGAAGAAGATTGTCAACAGCCCAATTCAATATCAAGCTCCAACAGCCCTTGGATCCAACCAACAAAGGAGATCGAATCAGATGACAAGTTCTTTCTTTTGTAAAGAATATCTCAGAGGATTGTACTCAATTTTTATAAATCAATAAAATTATTATTTGCTCCCTATTTCATTCTTTTATTTACAGATACGAAATTTGTGTTTACATGGTCAATCATCCTACAACCAGTGATATGCATACAAGCAGATTGAGCCCACTCCATATAGTTCGTCTCATCCAGCCTAACCCCGCGAACACAAAGTGAGGTCAGGGGTTCAAGCTTTAGTGGAGGTATGTGTTTGTGACTACCAACTAGAAAAACGAAAAGAAAAATAGCCGTTGTTGCAAAACCCCGTGAACACCCAAAAAAAAAAAAAAACAATCGAGATTGCAATAGAGAAAAAACAGGTCCAAAAAAAAAAAAAAAATTCCCCCAGCAGCGTGCTGCCCCCTACGACAGTACACGTCGATGTGATTAACACTACTTCTTGCAAAGAAATCCCATCTTAGAATCTCTTCAAAACCTTCACACCCACTAGGGTTTACACAAACTTGCCCTAGGGTTTCAACTACACACCTAGAGTTTTACAAACCATGCTCTGATACCATGTTGACTTTAAGATATAATCAAAGCAAGAGTAAGTGAAGGAGAAAAAGAAGAAAAAGAGAAGAAAACGGATGAGAGAAAAAGAGTGAGAGATGGCGAAAGAGGGAAAGAATGAAAGAACACTTTCATCCTTCAGTCAAATTCTATTTATAAAAAGTTTCAGAAATTACACATAAGCCCCCAACATTACATAAGTAATAACAAATAAGCCCCTGACAACACACAGAAAGCTTATACATTAGATTTGTGTTTGCTTGGTTAGGCTCTCAAGCACTAGCTAGCCCGTGCTTAAGTAAACTGACTTGCATAGGTTTAGCAAAAAATAGCTGTAGGAACAATTGATGATGAGGTGCCAGGAACACAAAACTGCCACTTCATCAATATGGAAAAAATCAAAAGGGAAGAAAGCTGAATGGCAGACAACCTAAGATAGAATACTTCCCTCCTCAATAACCAAGTGTAAATAAAAGAATGCCCAAGTTGTATAATTATAAGAAGAGGCAATATAGAAACATTTGAGACAATGAAGCCGAGAATATCTTGAAAATTGTTCATAATTAAAAATTTGTTGGATTTGGTTTTGTAAGAATTACATTGAATAAAAATTTTATATGTAACTGAGAGTCTGAGACAAAAAGTCAATCAGTACCATTGTTGGATTTGTAAGGTGTCAAGTCTACCCCGAAGGCAAGACAGACAGACTTTTTCACTGTTTGAGAAAAAGCACCATATGGGCACTAAAATGTGGGGATAGAAAGGAAGTATTTCTAAGAAGACCAAACAAGACTTGTGCAAGGAAAACATCCTGTATGCAAGTTATTTTTCCCAGAAGTCTCCGTGCATGGAGAATGTTCGTGAAATCCTTTTGAATAGGACAATGTCGTCTTCTTGAGATGGACTTGCATGGTCTCTTTGAGATTAAAATGTAGAAAAATAATTTGTCTGATACGGTTCTTGACAACATTGGTTAGAAGTTTGTTCAGGAGAGTAGGCTTTACTGAACAACCTGGACAATAGGAACATGAATAGGTAAAAGAATGGAGAACTTCTATAAATATGAGTAACATTGGTTAATCCAAATCATTAGTTTGTATTCAGAAAATATAACTACTTTATTTGTCTTGAAGGGATCCACATGCTAACACCTGATGCATCTGGCAACACCTCTAGCTTGTCCAAATACCACAATCGTAAAAACTCCCCAGGTCTGTACTCTCTATCTGTATCCATCTCTTGAGAACTCATGCAATTCATTTATGGCATGTTGTTAGACTTCACAATCTTGATCAAAACGTTATACAAGCATAACCATAAATCTATTTAGCAAAATAAAAATTTCAGATTTGATTTTTTTGGAATAAAATTTTCAATACTATTCTCCCAAACAAAATATATATATATTTAGTGAAATATAATTGTTAATGTATTGTCCTGCTTAATAAATTTAGTTTTCCCCACAAAATCTGATTATTATTTTTCCCAAAAGCAATAATCATATGCTATTTTGGAGTCTGAATCCATTAGGTTTAAGTAAAAATTCAAAAGTTGTGCTAGGAATTGCACTCTCACTCTACTTGACTACTTTGGCACCTAGCCACCTACCAAAGAAAGAAAAAGAAAAAAAATTAGACTAGTTTGGCACACAGCAGAAGTAATCCAAATTTCATTTCTTATCTACATCTTCACTAGTTCATTGACTGACTTGGCTTTTCTTCTGACGCTAGCCCTAAGGTTGCTCGAGTGTTTTTGGAAACAAGTTCGGTTATTGGATGACTCGCGTATGCAGGAGTTGCTTAAAAGGATTTCAAAACCATTATTTGATGCTGCAGAGTTCGGAAACATTGAGTTTATCACTGAGCTTATTCGCTCCTATCCTGATCTAATTTGGAATGTAGATGAGGAACACCAAAGCATCTTTCATATTGCAGTTATGCATCGCCAAGAAAATATCTTCAAACTTATTTATGGCATGGGAGCATATAAAGATCTAATTACTTATTATAGAGATAAAAACAATAATAACATTCTACACTTGGCTGGAAAGTTGGCTCCTTCAGATAGACTTAATTTTGTCTCCGGTGCTGCACTTCAGATGCAACGAGAATTATTATGGTTTAAGGTAACAGTTAGTTTGTGTTTCATATAATTTTTTTTAATCTTAATTCTCATTTCAAATGCATTTTTGTTTTTGCAATGTTTTATTCTTCTCAACATTCAAAGGAAGTGGAGAAGAATGTCCAACCATTATACAGAGAGATGAGAAACAAAGAAGGTCAAACACCCCGAATGTTATTTACTGAGGAGCATAAGGAATTGGTCAAAGAAGGAGAGAAGTGGATGAAGGACACTGCCTCATCATGCATGCTTGTCGCTACGCTTATTACCACAGTGATGTTTGCTGCAATTTTCACAGTGCCAGGAGGGAACAGTAACGAAGGCACCCCCATTTTTCTTAAAGCAAAGTCATTCATAATTTTTGCCATATCGGATGCATCTGCCCTTTTCTCCTCAGTCACTTCTATATTGATGTTTTTATCCATTCTCACCTCACGATATGCCGAAAAAGATTTCCACAACTCCTTACCAAAGAGGTTGATTATTGGTCTTACAACCCTCTTCTTCTCTATAGCATCGATGCTTATTGCTTTTAGTGCAACCTTTTTTGTTCTACTTGGCAATCAACTGGCATGGATTGTCATCCCTGTGGCACTAACTACTGCTATTCCAGTAACCTTATTTGCATTATTGCAGTTCCCACTATTGGCTGACATGATACATTCTACTTATGGATCAGGAATCTTTTCTTGGCAAAGTAAAGATATGATTTATTTGTTTGACAAGGGATATCAAACTTGTCATAAATACAACTTACCGGGGAAAAAAAGGATATTACCCTGAATGTATAAGATTTATTACAATGTTGTATTATTTATGTGAAGCACGCTAATAATTTGATATTGAAACATCCAAGGTGTGTGAAAACAATATTTTTCAAATATATCCTGTGTATTTCTATATAACTTGGTCATCTCAATATGATCGATGCTGTTCAAACTCGGGATGACACCTCAATCAAGAGTGCAACAGAACATTGAAGTATGAGGTGCTAAATTAGTTACAAGATGTCTGCAATGCTAGAAAGAGGGGGATAACTTTATCTTGATTCATTTTTGCATTAACCTTTATATAAACCATGTTGCATTTCTAAGAGATTGGCACAAATTATGGATAAATTTGTAGATTCATACCACACAATTCAACCCTATAACTAAGCAATACTCTAAGACAAGTGAGGACAACTTTAGGGTTCATTTGGATAAATGAATGGATTTCAAATCAAGGGATTTGAGTTTACGCAAAAAGTTGGCTGTTGGAAGTTCGATTCTGAAGTTCAAGGTGATGTTAGATTTGGCGTATAAGAGAAATATTTCATGACAATCATAGGCAACTTGAATCCTTGCGAGTGTGGATTTCAAATTACTCGTCATACCTTTCCTTAATCCCATATGAATGGGCCCATTCATATGGGATTAAAGCAAGGATGATGATGGATTTAAGAGAATTATAATCTTAAAGCCATTCAATTCAAATCCTCTCCAATTCATCAAGCTATATTTGTTACACCATTGAACCTAAATCCATTCATTGAAGGCCTTCAATTTAAATGGAACCTTAAGGCTTCAACTTTCAATAGTTCACCAAAGGAGAAAGATAGTCATAGATAATTCTTCATTTGGGCTTTTCCCATAGTCCATAGGTGGTTTGGAGTGAGAAAGCTACCAGATTTATAAAATAAGGCATTCCAATTAAGACCTCATACATACTGATCTTCTTATTTTTCTAAGAAATTGATTAAATCTTCTTTAATCCTCCATCTCCCTGTAGCTCCCATATCCATCCCTCAATAATCTTTTCAATCTTCATTGGATTGTATTACCAAACAATTGAAACCATCAATCATCCTACTTCTTGACTTAAACAATGATCTTCACATCCATCCCTGAATTTATAAGAATTTTTAGAATGTTATGTAGTAATATTCTTTATGTGAAGCAAGCAAAAATTTTGTCATTAAAAAACTTCAAAAAGTGTGAAAACAAATGTTTTCAAATATATCATGGTTAGTTCTATATCTTGATCATCTCAATATGATATATGCTGTCCAAACTCAAGATGTTTCTTTAATTAAGTTGTAGACATAATATAATTCTGAAGAGGTGTTACTTATCGAAAAAAAAGAGGCGTTAAATTAGTTACATAATGTCTGCCATGATAGAAAGAGGAGGAGAGCTTTTCTTTTCCCTATATCTTGGTTCATTTTCTCTTGCACTGCCCTTTAGATTTTTTTTTTTTTTTTAACGAGCAATGCCCTTTAGATATACCATGTTGCATTTCTAAGATATGGGCACAAATTCCATAATATAATTGGATGAAAACTATATATATATATTATATATATATATATATATATATATATATATATCATTATTTTAATTTATCAAAAAAAAAAATTTTAATATATATTGATCTTCTTCTTTTTTAAGAAATAAATTAAATCTTCTTCAATCATTCATCTTCCTGTAACTCCTACATATCCATCACTTGATAGTATTATCAAAAAATTGAAACCACAAATCAATCCTTCTACTTGACTTGAGAGAACAATCTTTGCACAATATAAACAGTTTAAAAAGAAAGCAAAAAGGCAGAAACAACTATCTAAAAGATGTCTTGGGCGAATGAGGATGAAAGGAGACCTAATAATCAGATTTATAAAGATTAGACACTGTCTCCAAGATCCTGAATTTAATGTTGTGGCAGAAATATCATGCATCAGTAGGAAATGGTTCTGGTATAGTTGTGTTAGACGACTCAAAACAATATTGGACCTTGCTTTAATGCTATATTTGGTAGGAGGGGAGAAAGGGGGAGGAAGGGAAGAGAGCAAGGATGGAGCAAGCTTCCGATCCCATTGTTTGGTAGAGCAGAGAAGGGGAGGAATAAATTGAATGGAAAATGAGAAATCCCTTCCGGTCCACCATTTTACTTCCACCCAAAATTGGACAGAATAATATTTGTTGGATAAATTACGAAAGATATTATTACCCATGTTTATTAACTCTTAATTTATTCAGTGAGAGCTATACATGTAAAATAAGACCCAAAAACCCCCTCTACATTTCCTCCTGGCTCCAACTAAACAATAGAAGGTGTCACCCAACCAACTTCCCTTCCCTAGAATATAACTTTCATCCATCCTTCCATCCTCCTATCAAGCCATTAATATATTTTAGCATTATTTTGGGCTATTAGGTTCAGGTGACTAATTTGCTACGGTCCAAATCAAGATTTAATTGGTAAAAATACCAATTAATTTGTTTTTATATATATTTATAGACTCAATTTACTCAAATTTTTCGAAGAAAAAAGTAAACATAAAACATGGATCAAACAACAATAAATCTGCATGTAAATAAAAAAATTTCTTTCAAAATAAAGAAAATTCTATTACAGAGTACTCAGAATACCTGTGTGCGTATAGAGAGAGTATAGCACAGATAGAGCTCCTGTTTGGCCCCAATTCAGATGTGATTTTACCCCAAATCAAAAACCTAGCCTCTCAATATACTGTATATACATAAAATAAAAAAGAAGTGAGAGATAATGAATGAGCAGAGAGAGCTATAGAGAGAGAAATTGAAAGAAATGGAATGTATTACCGTCGGACAGCGAAGGATGGAATTGTCGGACGCCATCGGAGCTCCAGTCTGAGCATCTCCAATGCTAAAATGCCAAATTCGGATGCCAAACTTATAAAATGTTACATTTCAGTAATTCTGTTCCAATTATGAAAATTCTATTTTTTAACACAACTATTATTCTTTTTCAATTATCATTGTCACCATTTATATTTACATCCGTAATGTTAATATTAGGCACATTCCAAGTTAGGGATGGCAACGGGGCGAGTTTGGAGCGGGTTTCCCTAAATCCTGCCCCGCCCCTTTTAATTTTTATCAAGTCCATGCCCGCCCCGAGACTCTCAACAGATTGGATTTTCATGTCCAGCCCCGCCCCATTGGAAAATACTGTACCCCGTGCCCGCCCCGCTAACAAAATTTTTTCTCCCACTTTTTGAAAATTAAGCTCTTGCTATTTGAATGTGGAAAGTCTGGAAATGGCACAACATAAATGAAATTAAATATCCCAATAAAAATAAAAAAAATAACATACACATAACATAATTCGAATAACATTATAAACAAAAACAAAAGTTTAATACAATCAAATCACAAGAAGTTCTAAGCTCTAACTTCCACCATAACCAAAATAAAAACAAATTTAATACCAAATTTACGTATATCTATACTATTATTAAATGTGTAAAGTGTTTCAGTATTTATTTATTTATATAAAAAAATATTTATTAATTAATATAAAAATAATTTTTGTAAAAATAACTTGTATAAAACTTTAAAAATTACCTAATAAAATCAATCACATTCTATATAAAACTCTTATTTTTAGTTATTTTTTATGGATAATTATAGTTTCTATAAAACTCTAAAATTTACCTAATAAAATCAATCACATTTTATATAAAACTCTTATTTTTAGTTATTTTTTATAGATAATTATCATAATATAACCAGCCCGGCCCGACCCGGCCCACTTATGATTATGTCATTATCAGAAAAGGACACATGTCATCATCCTATTCATCTAAGAAGCCTATAAATAGAGGCATGGAGGAAGGAGGAAATGGTACAGAAATTGAGAATTCTAGAAATCTAGAATTTCAGAGTAAAATTCGAGTTTCAGTATTTATTTATTTATATAAAAAATATTTATTAATTGAGATGAATTTCAGAGTAACATACAAAAGCTCTGTCAAGAGTTTTCAGTATTTATTTATTTATATAAAAAAATATTTATTAATTGATATAAAAAGAGTTTTTATCTATATTATTATTAGATGTGTAAAGAGTTTCATTATTTATTTATATAAAAAAAATATTTATTAAATGATATGAAAAGAGTTTTTACTAAAACAAAAAAAAAAAAAAAAAAAAAAAAAAAAAAAAAAAAAAAATCTATAAAACAGTAAAATCTACATAATAAAATTTAAATTAACCTATTTATCTATTTATTATTATCCATTTTTAATAAAAGAAAATCTAATTAGACAAGATTTATTAATATTTATATTATTATTAAATGTGCAAAGTGTTTCAGTATTTTAGTATTTATTTATTTATATAAAAAAATACTTATTAATTGATATAAAAATAGTTTTTGTAAAAATAGCTTCTATAAAACTTTAAAAATTATCTAATAAAATCAATCACATTCTATATAAAACTCTTATTTTTAGTTATTTTTTATGGATAATTATAGTTTCTATAAAACTCTAAAAATTACCTAATAAAATCAATCATATTTTATATAAAACTCTTATTTTTAGTTATTTTTTATAGATAATTATCACAATATAACCGGCCCGGCCCGGCCTACTTATGATTATGTCATTATCAGAAAAGGACACATGTCATCATCCTATTCATCTAAGAAGCCTATAAATAGAGGCATGGAGGAAAGAGAAAGAGGTATAGAAATTGAGAATTCTATAAATGCAGAATTCCAGAGTAAAATACAAAAGCTCTGCCAAAGAGTTTCACTATTTATTTATTTATATAAAAAATATTTATTAATTGAGTTGAATTTCAGAGTAAAATACAAAAGCTCTGTCAAGAGTTTTCAGTATTTATTTATTTATATAAAAAAATATTTTTTCATTGATATAAAAAGAGTTTTTATCTATATTATTATTAGATGTGTAAAGAGTTTCATTATTTATTTATATAAAAAAAATATTAATTAATTGATATGAAAAGAGT